AATGTGGGTTTTAAATGATGATACAAGATTAACAATGTCCTCTGCCTTCCCTTCTTAGACAATTCCTCTCCTTTCCCTTTCACAGGGTGCATTGTACATTTTGTATCCCATTAACTCCTTTAGTTTTTAGGTTAGGGAGGCAACACACTATTTGCCTAAATGAACCTTTTTACCCCTGAGTTTGGTCTCTCGTTGTATCCATTTACTTATAAAATCCTCGAGGTGTCCTTCCTTATAGTCGAGTAGTTCTCCATTATATAAAAGTGTTATATCTTTCCAACAAATCTGCAGCTAAAGAGCAAGCCACCTCCACTTTTTTCTGGTTCCCTGTCACATTGAGAATTATTTCCTCATCCTTCACTTTCAGTCTATAAACCCTCCTCCAGGTTGATTATATTGCTTATATAGAGCATCAGGATGGACCCTATCTCCTGACCCACTCTTCCTGTGTTTCTTTTTATTATTGTATCTAGGCCATCCATGTTAGCAATTATGGCCAGCCTTCTCGGCCTCATCTCTGCCAGCTATTTTTCTGGCATTGTTCATCTACTTTTCCCCTTCATTCCACTGTCTGCCCCATTCAGTGAGCCCCCTCTGTCACTGTTCCTGAAGCCATGGTCTTTTTTTCTCTCTTTCTAGAATGTCCTTCAGTATTTTTTGTAGGGTTGAATTGTTGGTCGTGAACTCCCCCAGTTCCTCTTTGTCATGGAAGCATCTTGTTTCTCCATTAATTTTGAAACACAATTTTTTAGGGCACATCAATCTGGGTTGGAGGTTATTTTCTTTCAGTGCTTGGAATACTTCACTCCAAGCTCTTCTTGATTTGATGGCTTGTGTCTAGAAGTCTCTCATGATTCTGATGGGTTTTCCTTTACAGGTGATCTGTTTCTTTTCTCTGACAGCTTTTCATATTCTGTTCTTGTGTTGAATTTCTGGGATCTTGGTTATTCTATGTCTGGGTATAGATCTATTTCAGTTATAGCTGGCTGGAGTTCTGTATGCCACATATATCTGAATATCATTTCCTTTTCCTATGCTTGGAAAGTTCTCTTTAATTATTTCTGTAAATAGCCTTTGTATTTCATTGGTGTTTACCCCTGATTCTTCACTGACATCTTTTATTCTTACCTTAGGGATCCTCTTGATATCTTCTAGCCTTTGTATTGTTACTTCCTGGTTCTTTGTTATTTTTCAGAGGTCGTTCTTTTCACGATCACACATTGTAAACCTGTCTTCGAGGTTTGATAGTCTATCTTTAGTTTCTTTCAAGCAGTTTGCCAGCTTTCAATGGAGTTTTTAATTTCCTGGTAATCTCTTTGAGTCTGTTTCATGTATTCTAGATTTTTTTGTATTCTTCATTGAAGGTTTCCCTTCTTTTTTTGTGCCCCTCCATTCTTTGATCTGTGTCTTCTTGAAAGATAATTAGCATTTCCTTTATTATTTTTCTTATATCTTCCTTTACCTGTATTAGAATTTCTTTTTTTTTAAATTTTATTTCAGAGGAAAAAGAGAAAAACACAAAACAAAACAAAGTGGTGTAAGGGTACACGTAATACAGAACTACAAAAAAAAACATAATAGTAAGAAATCACCTGCTAATAGATTATATATTATCATCTTGGAAATAGTTGCTCAAATCACAGTATCAAAGAATACAAAATGGACATTCAAACAGAGAGACTGCAAACAGCTGTGTTCAATGATCCAAAAATATTAATATAGTCAGCTATTTAACACCCCTAAACACACTTGCTGTTATATCTGTTAGAGCTCTTTTTTTTCCCCCTCTCTTTTTTACAACAAAATTTACACATTTTGGATTTTATTACTCTTTAGTTCTTATTACTTTTTTAGGGGGGAGAGAATAAAGTCAAATATGGAAAACAAAGCTGTCAGTCAAAATCAAGGATAGACATAGCACATGATGTAGAACAGAGTACAAGATTATCAACAATGGTTATCAACGTTGTCTCTTGTTTCCTTAAAAAGAATTGTCTATCTCATTAGATATTATAAAGTTGGACAAAACAGTAGAGAACAAGACCAATAAAACTTAGGCATTGTAAACATTACAGGACTCCCAAAGGAGACAACAGTCAAACCAGAATGGGCATCTTAGTTAATCTTACTGCCTTCAAAGTAGTTGCCTATACCCTCAAACCTGATACTATCATACAGAATGGAACAGAGTCTAATCAGTCAAAACAAGATCGTGGGAGTATTACAGGAGTTCAAAACAAGTTAATAGGAAATCAAAAAGAGTTACTATTATATATCCTAATTTTTAAAAAATTTTTCCCCTTAATTAAAACAAACATAAATAACTAAATAATTTTTTTAAAGAATAAGGGAGAGATTGAGATAAGCTCCAACATGGCGTGGATCTCAGGAGACACTGCTAGTTTTCCCCATGGAAGGGCTGCAGTGGGCTAAACTACTGCTGCTTACCAGGGAGGGGAGATGCTGGCTTGGATTCCCAGAGTCCTAAGTTCCAACATGGCGTGGATCTCAAGAGACACTGCTAGTTTTCCCCCTGGAAGGGCTGCAGGCTGCCACCCTGCCTCTGCTTACAGGGAGGGGAGATGCTGGCTTGGCTTCCCAGAGTCCTAAGCTCCAACATGGTGTGCGTATTAGAATTTCTGTTTTAATTTCTTGTATAATGTCACCAGGATAATTCTTCATGTCAGATGCTGCTTTTTCAGGCCCTGCCGCTGTGCAACCCCCAATCTCTTTTGTCTTTTCTTCTCCTGGGCCAGTATTGTTTGGGTTGCAGTTTGGAGACTTCCTTTTCTTTTCTCCTCTTGTCATGTTTCTGGTTTCTTCCAGAGGAGTGCATAATGGAGGGCGCCGGCACTTCCTATGTTGGCTATGATTACTCTGAAGTACACTGACTACTCCATTCTGCTGATGACCACTGAAGTAAAGCAGGGGCAGGGCAGGCTGGCCCCTCCCTTCTGAGCTGGTCAAGCACTGAGAGTCTTCACCATGTTAGTACGTGCTGTGTGGATAGGGATGGTTAGGTATAATTTCAGGGAGACCTCGTCTTTGGCTCTTGGATTATGCACAGGGGCGGCACTCAGTCCAAGCACTTCTCACCAATCTGCTCTGCGCTAGGAGTGGCTGACTGAAGCCGCTACAGTTCTGGTTCTGGGTTTAACCTGCCCAACTCCAAAATGTCACCCAGACAGTTGCCCACTCCCATAGGAGGACTGACATCCCTGCACTTACCTGGAGCTGGCACAAATCTTTGAGCCAAGCACCATTCTCCAGTCTGCCACTCCACTCCGTGACCCCATTCTCCTGCCAAGGCCTTCAGGCTCGCCAACCCCTAACCTCACCACAACCAGGCATCTACAGATTCCAGCGGCGTTTTGTATGTAATGGGATCAGCTCCAGTGAGAGTGTGTCTGGCAACAGTCCTCCGTCCACATTTCCCCTTTTCCCTTTATTTTCTTCCTGAGTCTAAGGATTCATCGTCTTCCACCTGGTCCTCTTCAGGCTGTATTATACCAGCATCTGAGCTGTTTCTCTCATAAAGGCTATTTTTTGCTGCTTTTGTCATTTTAAAGGTAGGGATTATATAGACAGCATACTGTTGGATTAGACTTTTTGTGTGTGTATTTTGACAAACTTAGCCTTTTAACTAGAGTGTTTAACTGGTGTACAATTAATTCAATTGTTGCTAACATTGTATTTAACTCTACCATCTTATGATTTCACTCTTTCACTTTTTTTTTGATAAGTTGTGCTTGATATTCCATTTATCTTCTTGGCTATTAGTAGTTCCTGTGTTGTTTAAAATATTCGTCTTTAAGTTAATAATTCTACATTCAAACAATAATATGCAAAAACTTTTGGCATGATATTTATACATTCCCCCACTTATATGCAGTATTGTTGTCATTAGTTTTACCTTAGTTATGTTATGAACAAGAAAAACATTGTCATAATTGTTAATTTTTCAAATTTAAAAATTTTTTAAAAATGAAAATAGAAAAACATTTTATATTTGGCTCCGTATTTAATATCTTATGCTTTCATATTAGCATGTACAAAACATTCTTTAAAGAAATAAAATCTCTCAATATTTTTATTCAATATTCAGCATTGTTTTTCTCAGATCTTTAATTCTAAGCTCTGATAATTACAATTTAAGTTCTCCTAGAGTGATATATATATATATATATATATATATATAGTATAAATTGCAAAGAGTGAAGGTATTTTTTAATTTTCTTTGTTAGCTTATAGTTCCTCACAATTATTTGAAAAACATGTTCATGGAAAAATCACTACAACCTAGACATGGGAAGAAAACCCAAGAGTTGTAGATGGATCCAGATCAGCCTGATATCTCAGCTCAGACAGTCCAAATCTCTCACTTAGAGATTCAATCACTGCAGTCTTCAAACTACATCAAATCAAATCATAATCCAAGCAAAATTTCTCCCAATATCCTCTCTTCACCAAACCATCTTGTACTCAGTGAATAACTCAGGTCTAAATTGAAATTCTCACACCCTTAAACACTCATGAAGTGAGAACTTATGGTAATTATATCCCTAAGCCACCTGAAACCTCCTCACCTTTATAAAATATTGGTCACATATGACCCAGCCCAAGATTTTTAGCAAAGACAACTCAGACTCGGTTGGCTCTGAAATACTGAAGAATTTATTTATTCATCAGTATTCTCAGGAAGACATCAGTGAAGAGTTTTTCAGAGGAAACCCAAGGACATGAACCCCAGTGGACGAGTGATCTCCACACCAGTATAAACACTGATCCACTGCCTTCTATTTGTTGGGAATCTTACTAAGGATTAAAAGCTTTCAAGTCAAAACTGAAGATTTAAAGGGTCTTCTGACGAGATCAGGCAAGTTCAGGGTAGCACAGCCATAGACTTGAAGGGTCTTCAAGGAAGTTGCTCAGTGGAATAGAGCGTACAGGAGTTGAGAATTAAGCTGAGACTAGAGTTTGTAGGACATCTGGAATTCAAATTCTCTGAAATCTTCTTTTAGGAATTTTGTCACCTGCAACAAGACACACAGTTACAAATGTCACCCTTGGGTTCAGGTCTCCAAGCTCAGACACACCTTCCCTACCTGCTTTATATCTAGTTTCCACATTCCTCTGCCATCCTTAAGGCCATGGAGAGAGTGACTTTCCCTGTACATGCCCTGATCCTTCAGGTGAGCCACAGTCAGGAGTCAAGGAGCATCCTGACATCAAACTTCACACCCAACCCCAGGCTGACTTGAGAGATTCCCCACATGCTTTAAGTCTCCAAAACACCCTCAGAAGGACAGAGAGCCACACTGTTGAGGCCAGGGAAGCTCAAGTGTGAAATGATGGCTGTGAAGGCAGAATCACTGCTCACACTGTGTCAAGCTGCTCTGTGAAAGAGATTCAAAACCAATGTATATTTCCTCACAGTGCCTCTGTGAAACATCTGAACACACACAATCCTTCTTCTTTAAATAAATTATCTTCTTGGCTTATGTGACAACATTCACCTCATTCTTTTGGCTCTGTTATTTCTTTTTTCCTTGATTACTTTTCTTTTGCTAGTGTGTGAACCATGTGTGCCTGCCTTAAGTCACCCCGCAAGGTCTTCTGGGCACAACACATTCCAGAAATGCAGGTCCCTATGGGAATGCAAACATTTGCTTACACTGCACAGAACCAAAATAATGCAGATTCTCCAGGTGAAAAACAGACAGGTAGGTGTACAAAGTAAAAGGCTATGGAACATCAGAAAGCAGCAGACTTTAGATCTATAATATATTGCTTTGGTAAATAATAAAAGCATATATTTTGAATAATACTACATGTTTTACAGGGTACACACAAATAAAGATAAATTCATCAAACCTTTCTGAATGTTACTGTTGAGAGGATGAGCTTAGATATGCATGTGAAGACTGAAGATAGAATAAACAAAACAAGAGAGAGTATTTGGAGCTGCTCATCATGACAGAATCATCCACTGAGTGGTTGACTGACTCACCCTTTGCACCTGGAGTCCAGCTTGAGTAATAATGATAATAATCAATAAGATGTCATCATCACAGAAAGATCACTGTCTAATAGGAAAAGAACTATAGAAACATAAAACTATAAATATGCATGTGAGCTTTGCCACTCGGTGACTGAAGGAAGGAGAGCAAATGGTACTAGGTGCCTGTCACACCGTGTTGTGACTGAGTGTGGACACTGATCTGGCTCCTGCAGAGTTCAGACTTTGCATTTTATTGATAAAATAAGTAGCATAGGACAATGACAAAGCCAACAGCTTTGGTCTAAACTCCTGGATTGAATTCTGGCTTCACGACTTTCTAATGTGTGACCTTGATCTAGTTGCTAAATGCCACAGGGTATATAGGAAGATATAAGTATCTCACATGTTAAAGGACAGTAGCAGTACCTACCTCACATAGATTATTTGTGAGTTTAAAATGAGGTAATGTAAATGCTCAGAATAGTGCCTAAACGTATTAAGTACTCAATAAATTATCAGTGTTTTTATGGCTATGCAGCTCTCTGCTGTTAATACAGTAAGAGATCAATGTCTACTTTATCAAATAGAGCTTTTCCTCCTTTGGATACAGCAAATATTAGGTCTCCTCCCCCTTACTTTCCTCTGTGTCCTAAGATCCTTAGCTCCATAATAACTTACAGGGGTCCCTGGGCCCGGGGATCACGACTGGAACGCAGAGCCCTGATGATGAGCACGGTGCCCACGATGATGCCCACCAGGCCCACCACCAGGCCCAGGGCACAGACCACAGTCTCTGTTGTCTCTGTCACCTGGACAGGCTCCTGGGGCTCTGTGGAAAGATGAAGATTTGGGGTTAGGATGTGCACTAGGGATGGGGCTGGCCTGGGTGCCTGTGGAGGGTGAAGGTCACAGACCATCTGATGGCACATTAGGGTAAGGGGACAGGGAGTCTGAGACCCCAGACCCTGGGAACTGAGGTCACAGAGGGGAAATGAGGCTCCGTACCCCAGTGCTTGAGATACGGCTCATCCAGTCCCCAGTGCTCCACCTTGCAGTCATAGACATCCTCGGTGTTGGGAAGGAAGGTCAGGTAATGGAGCTTCTGGAAACTGTAGTCTGTGCGAGGCAGGAAGATGCTCTCAGAAGCTCCCTCAGTGACTGGCTGCCCGTTCCGCAGCCACGTGACACTGAGCACAGGTGGGAAGAACTTGTCCACATGGCAAATGAGGATGTTGGGCTCACCCAGCTGCACAGGCTCCTTAGGAAACACAGTCACCTCGGGAGGATCTGAGAGAGGACCAAACCTGGTGAGTGTCTATGTTCTAGGATGAATCTCAAAGTCCACCTTGGGTGTCATCTACCTCAGGCTCAGAGCCAGGAGTCTCACTCCACTGATGGGCCTCATTCAAGTCACCCCTTCTCCAGAGTGACAGGGACTGGAGTGAACCCATGGCCACTCAGCAGTGAGTACCTAGGTCTCCCACTCTGTGAGTGGTGGTGGAGCCCTCCCGCCCCTTCCCAATTGGGTGACAGACAGGAAGAAGCCAAGGTGGCCATTACCATTGGGGGCCTGGGTGTGGTTGAAAGCCTTGATTGCTCCGTTCAAGTTTTCCCTCAGTATGGCGATGTTGGTCAGCCCGCCCTGAGCATCAAAGGTAAAGGCTTGACCAAACTCTGGCAGATGCCAGACCGTCTGCTTCTTGTCCAGATCCACATAGAACATCTCATCCTCATCAAGCTCAAACATATACTCCCCTGATGGTCTCTGCGTCTGCACAAATGCAGCAAATGTTGACACATGATCCGCTGCACAAAAAAAAAAAAAATAGAGGAAAATGTGATGAAATATAAAAAATAATATGTAAGTAGTGTAGACATGAGAATGAATAAAGATTTATCAGTATAAAAGGCAGAAAGAAAGAGATCAAAGGATGGAAACATGGAAGAAGAAAGAATAACACCAAAAATGAGAGAATGCAGAGGAGACCAGAGCACCTTGCAAAGGAAATGGAGGAAGAACCAAAAAAGAAAATCAGCCAGCCGTTCATCTGCTTCCCGGGCACTCCACAAGTGAATTTCCCAATCATTCAGAGCAATAAGCGATGACTAGGAGCATTGATCAAGCATACACTATGGTCTCAGCACCTTCCTAAAAACCTTATGTATTTTACTCAATTGTCTCCATAAACTTTGGAGCACACACTTGGTGTTCTGTTTTTCAAATGAGGACATGCAAAGAGGCTAAGTAACTTACTTAAGGTCACATAGCTTTGTGCAACAGTTAGGAGGGTCTCTCTCTCTCTCTCTCTCTCTCTCTCTCTCTCTCTCTCTCTCTCTCTCTCTCTCTCTCTCTCTGTGGTGTGTCTCCCTCTCCCTTTCTCTTTGTCTCTTTCCAGAAGCTCTCAATGCATCTAGAGCTTCAGATGTAAAATTGTTTTTAGAATCTTGAGAGAGGAGGAGAAAAAATACTATTGTTCTCATTTTTAAAAAGAGAAAAATGGAAGATTGAGAGAGGAGGAAATTTTCTTCAGGAGCTCAGCATGATGGTGCATGCTGATAACCCCATCACTCTGGGAAGCTGAAGCAAGAAGACTGAAAATTCAAGTCCAGTCTGGACAACTTAGCTACTGATCAAGATTTTGCTTCAAAATAGATAAAAAAGACTGGGGATGTAGCTCAGTGTGTTCAGCCCTCAGTATTACAAAAAGGAAAATTATTCAAATCTTACAATTCTTTATACTCTTCAAGTTCTGTTTTGTTTATAAATGTGAACCTGCATAGCTCTTATCATATTTTTTGTTTTAGGCACATAATATCCAAAAACATAGTACAGGTAACTTAACATTCATTTCAAATTTCTTTTGTTAATTTTTATTTTAAGTAGAACTATAAGAATTGCTGAGTTTGGAAGTTCTGACAGACTTAGTTTTTGTTTCTCAGTTTATAACTTTATAGTAAATAACAAAATTAAGAGAATAAAATAAAGTGTCATCTTTAAATAAAACAATGAATATATGAGAGCTTCAAACAATGAATATATGTCAGCAAGAATGACACTGTCACAGGAATTCATTCTTATTTCAGATGAATCATATGCAGGAAAGAGAGACAGCTCTCCAAGAAGATTTCTTAGTGAATTAAGAAACATTTTCAAAGGAGAATTGAGGAAATATGTAAAAGATAAGGACAGAGTACATTGCAAGACCTTTAAAAATTAGTCTAATCAGAAAGTAAGAAGCAAATTGCAGTGAAAGATTATCAGTCATTCAAATGAGAGAGAGCCGGCAGAGCACACACCAGGTTTAAACCTCACACAGCATTACCAATGGCCAAAATGGAGCATCCTCAGGACACACTGGAGACGGAAGTCAGGAGCTTAGCTATGAGGCTGAGGAAAACGAAAACATATCTCCAGGGTAGAGAGCAAAGTGAAGGAAAAGGTTTTCCTGGTGGGCTGCTGTTTGTGTTTTTAAGGTAACAAACATGTTTGTATGTTGCCAGGGAGGGAGGGGCAATACAGGCAGAACCAAGTTAATCTGTAATGTGCATCACAAATCCTAAAACATCTTCATACCTGCATGTGTTCACTGAGGAATTTGTTATAACACAGCACTGCAAAAAGCCAAGGACCTTTAACAGGGCACGAGGTCCTTCAGCTTCTCTGTGGTCCCATCTCCTCTTCTCTTCCACTTGTGCCTGGACTCCCCACTTTAAATTAAATTGTCTAGGGCCAGGTGCATCTTTTATATTATGAGCTCTAGTCCTTCACTGCAGTATAATTTTTTTGATGACAGCATCACATATAGTTTGATGTTTCAATGTCTACAGCAGGAAGGAAGAGCATTTTCATGATTTACTAGCCCTGGCTGAATCTGTCATGATCCAAAGTCTAGAACTCTGGTGCCAGTCACTGTCCTCTGTGTCTCTCAAGACCCATATTACAAGGTTAACAAAACAAGGAAAAGCTGCTGTCTAGAGACAAGAAGTTGTGAAAACCAGCTGCAAAGATCCTGGGGAGATGTAGGAACTTGGGAGAGAGGGACAAATACAGAAGCTGTCTTAGAGATCTCTCCCTAAAGTTCTGACACAGGGAACCCACACCTCCAGGCCCCTCAAAAGCAGCCACAAAAAGTAGCTTTGAGGGTCCAGGAGAGATGACGGTGTTAGGTCCCCACAGGTTTCTGTTAGAAAGTCACTGTGTAGAGAAGTCTGGGGATGCAGAGCATGAGCTTCAGAACCCGGTCTGAATTTGCACCTCCGCCTATGGACCTGTAGTACAACTTTGCTAATGTTTTGAGTGTTAGTGTTTTAACCTCTAAAGTGGAGGGAATAATATCTTCATTGAATATTCTTATAAGATATAAGTGTGGAAAGTGTGAAGTGGATGTCTAGGAAATTGTGGCTGCTCTTTCTGTGATGGTCATTAGAGGAACAGGGACAGAGACAAACCACACCTGAGGAAAAGGAGAAAAAGGACTTGGAGGAAAATAATAAGTTCCCTTAAATCTCGTAAGAAGTTAGCTGGTTTCCTGCCCCCACCTCTCACCCAGACCCTCTCCCACCTCCTCAGCACTCACCTTCAATGGCCCCAGCTCCTTGCAGACTCAGCAGGAAAACCAGGGAGAGAGTGCATAGGATCACCACTTTGCTCTGAAACATTCTCTCCTTACAGCACGCAGTGAGGGGTTTACAGTTGACGACGTGGGAAAAGGAACAGTAAAGAGGTCCAGAGGCAAGGAGGGGACAAAAAAGAGGTCTGGAACTGAGGCTTCTACAGCCTGAAAATAGCCAAAGAGGAGGGGGGAGGAATCAGCATGGTTGGCTCTAACCAATCAGAGAAGCAATAGAGCTGATGCTCTCTGTTGCTGGGTAAACAGAACACTGGAGAGAGCTGGAACAGAGAGGAGGGTTTTCAGGAACCAGCATGAGCCTAGTAACTCCAGTTCATAGTTCATTTTCAGAGTTTGAGAGACTTGGGTCGCATATGCTTCTGGCAGCAATTGTTCTGTATCATGCTTTTATGTCTTCATGAATCCCCATACCTAATCCTCACCAGAAGCATTCAAACAGTCCTTGACATTTTGTTCACTATTTTTCTAAACAATTTAGCTATTTTATCAAATTTATTTTTAATTAATTAATTAATTACTTTTTGTCTTTTTGAGACAGGCTCTTGCTATGTAGTTCAGGCTGGCCTGGGGCTCACTTTGTAGCCCAGGCTGGTCTCAAACTTGCAACAAGCCTCTTGCCTCAGCCTCACGAGTGCTGGGGTTACAGGCATATGCCACCATGCCTGGGGTTTTTATTAAGTTTCTAAAAATATCCTGCTATTTTTTTTACAGATAAATGCACTACCCAATAAAATTAATCTTTAGGTCTGCCTCTCTGAGATATATTCCATTTGTCTTTTTACATAGAAGTTTTATAGTTTTTATTTAGGAATTTTAATTAACTTGAATGAAGTTGATCTTCAAGTAGTCTTCTATTCCTGTTTACCTTGGTTAGTAAGATTTCTACTGTTCTTTTTAGCTAGGTTTCTTTTTTATCCTGGTATGTAAGCTATCTGAAGTAACATTTTTTTTTTGTCTTTATATTACTTGTAATTTTATTTCCTTTTCATGTAAGAATACCTAATACAGCATTATACACAGTAATAATGGGCATTTTATTTTAATCTTTATGTTGTTGTTTGAGACAAGATTGCTATTGTGTCTGGATGTGAACTCCTAGGCTCAAGTGATTCTTCTGCCTCAATCACCTGTGTAGCTGGAACTATATGCCGAGTTTTGTTTTACTAGGGATTTTTCTAATGATTTCCTGTTACAAGTATTATTGATTTTCTTGTTTTATATTTTATTTACCAAATTTAAGAAATTACCTGTCTTATTTGAAATATTTTTACTTTGAAGTATTTCTTTGATATTCATATATGAGATTACAAAGCACTTACCCCTTAACATAATAATAAAAATATTTATCTTGTTTTGTATCTTGCATAAGCAACAATTAAATATTAACATTTTAGTACAGAGAGATGCCTTTGTTGTTGTTGTTGTTGTTGGGGGTTTTGTTTTGTGTTTGGTACTGGGTATTGAAATTATGACCTCATGCTTACCAGGCAAGTGCTTGAGCCACTGAGCTAAATCCCTGCCCCAAGAGATGATATTTTTAATGTTTTGTATGTATTATCTGATCCAATCATCACTTCAAAACTTATTAATGTCTATTCTAAAAACAAGTTACACAGACATTAAGAAGCTAAGTATTGGACTAGTCCTTCCTATCAGATAGATGACAAAAGTTTCAAGTTTTAAGCCCTTTTATTCACAAACCTCTCCTTTTATACTACAATTCTACAGTGAATCCTTATTTTTAATAGATCACTTATATTATATAATTTTTGTCTTCTCGTGAATTTTATAGTCACTACTTTATTTAAATTTTGATATCTATATAAATAAACAACATCAGTTTGATATTTTCTGTATTAGAATTTGTAGCCCAACAGAATCACACTTACTGGTTTTAAAGTGAGAGTAACAGTCTTTGAAAATATGTGAAGATATTCGTGATGAACACAACAAAATCAGCTGTTTTGGAGGAGACAGAACTTTTATTTTGTCTTTCATTTCACTCACTAGTGTAGTTACATTCTGTATGGACTTTATTATTTCAGAGCAATTTCAGATATATTTAGCTCATTTGAAGTTAGAACATGGCTGCACAAACAGCTTACATCAGTCCCAGAGAAATGGTGAAAGACTGAAGACCAAAACAGTGCGATGGCCTTCAGGTGGCCTCCTTACTTGGTAGCACAGCTGTGAACACACTGCCACATGTCATGGGTCCCCAGACTCAGCTCTGCTCACCCTGCCTACATCCTGTGGAGGCACCTTGGGGCTCCTGTGCCTCTTAGGATGTACGGACCTGTGGAAGACAAAATACATACGTGACAGTTCTCAGACCACCTGTGAGGAGAGGAGAGGCAGAAAGATACTGGGGCTCATTTTGAGTTCTAGGATCGACACTCTAATGTCTCTATAAGTCATGCCACTCTGTGGCCTTTTACACCACAAGCTGATCCTGTGGGTATGCAGAAGGTGGCAGAGTTGGGGCAATGATAATCTCTATAGACCAATCAGTGCAATAGGTTTTTTTTTTCTTTGCACCGTTCAACATTTATTTGGTGTTTCAGTTGGTATGACTCTGCATTGATTGTATTGTCCACAGGTATATCATATGGTAGTGTACATGACTGATATATAAAATACACAAAATAAAATCCTTTAAAACAGTTACGTACAATACATGCAATACTGGATTTGTACACTAGATCCCAGCTTGCCATCAACTGGAAAAATGTCAGACTACATTTGCTTAGTGAAGTTACATTACGGAGTAACATAGGAAATCTCATTTTGTCTCAAAACACAAGGAACACTAAGGAAGACATCATCCTCTATTCCCAGAACCCTTTAGTCATGGTAGAGGTTGGATGCACCCTCCTAAGCTTATTAAACTTTTCAAATCTGCCACTGACAGTCCCATGGCCCAGAATATGTGGCCTTTTAGTTCGATCTCTTTGTAAGCACTGTCAGCCACCTGTTTGTGAAGCTCTTTCCAGTGCTCCTTGTTCCCATTAGTGCCTAACTCGGGGTGCAAATTTTTCAGAAAGACATCAGCTGCGTTCATTCCACTCCACACAGGCATACGGGACTCTCCATGCTTCTTGAGGATCCACTGTGGCAGCTCAGTGGCTGAATTCCAAGCTTTCCTCCATCAGATAACAGAACCAGGCTGACTCCAGATTGCAACCACTTCCAATATCACAGGTTTTGGGAAAGTCACCTCATAAGTCAAGAGATCCACTGGGGTGGAAACAACAAGCAATTCGCAGTTTGGCTTAGCTTTACAACATCAGGAATGATGAGCTCAAAGATGTTCCCATTACACAGGACCAAGTTAAGACGGCTTCTCTCTCCTGCTGCTGTGCCCGAGCTGTAATAATAATGAGCCTGGAGTTTGCGGTTCCAGTATAGTCTTTGCCAGAGACAGTTTTCATGTTCTAAGGAAAAGGCTGCCGTGCTGGAGATTCGTCATCTCTCCCTTCAGTTTGTCTTCATGATGTCAGCAAGGGCAACTTCACCTGCCTGTCCTTCATTAAGGTACTGACGGCACGGGCCGTGCCTGCAGCGCCAACCCTGACAACCGTGATCCTGTTCTGGGGGACCTGTCCTTCCTTCAGGAGATTCACAGTCAGCCGGCCCTTTAGACTGGCTTTTGGGCTTAGAACCAAAAGGAACACAAAGCACATGTTGGGCAGGCATCGGGGCACTCATTTGTGAGGTCCAGACTCAGTGGCAGTGGCTCCAGCACAACTGAACACTAGAGATCACTTTTAGACCAAGGAAACAGCAACATAATTAAGGTGACACTGCTCTCCCCTCTCTCACACCTTCAGGGCAATATACACTAAGTTGCCAGACCTTTCAAGCTAATCCTCTGCCCAGTGAGTGATGACTCACAGGAAGCGCTGTGCCCATTGGCTCTTTGCTCAGAGTCTGTCCAATCACAGGGTCTCAGGAGACTACTGTGACTCATGGTCTCTGACATTTCACACAGGAGCTCCACTGAGTGAGTCCTTCATTCCCTGAAAACTGCTTTCTCTGTTCACCAGCAGTTTCCACCCCAGCATGGCTCCACAGGTCCCTGAGGCTCCCTGGATATTGGCTCTGACTGTGGCACTTCTGGTGCTGGGCAGCACAGTGGTTCAGAGCAGGACCCATCCAGGTAAGAGCAGAGCAGCCACTGCTGGAGGGCCAGGCTCAGGGAGTCACTGCTGGGGACTTTCTGCTCGGGGACCAGACTTTGAGAACAGCTGTGGGTTTTCCTGCCACAGCCCCGAGTCCTTCCTTACCAGCTAGAGAATCAAATCACCTCCTCCTTTCCATCCAGCTAATAGGTTCTTTCCAGGGACAGGGACTCGTGGGCAGGGGACAGGTGCCAAGGGGGTGATGTGCCTGCTTCTTGTGGACCATGGGCCAAGAAATCAGGTATAACTTGCGGGGGGCAGGGTTTCCAGACACCAGATGGTCTTCAGGGCCTTCTCATATCTGCATCCCAGCCCTGAGGACTCAGCTCACCCTGCCCACTCAGTGCCCAGGGTGGAAATGTAGCCTGTGCCGTGGGACAGAGATGGAGAGGAAGGGATGGACGGGCCGTGGTCCTGCTCTGACTCCGTTCTCCTCGAGGGGGCTCTTCCAGCCCCCCCGAAGCTTGCCCAGGTCCACAGTGATCAGGTTTGCAGAGAGAATGCGATGAGGGGGTGTGGGGTGAGGAAAGGGACTGAGGAGGGAGGATCAGGAAGGTGAGACTAAAGGAAGGACTCTTCCTCACGCTGCCCCACTGTGGCTAGAACTTCTGTGAGCTGTGTGTATTTCTCAGGTTGCTTCTGACATTTCTACTTCAAATTTGTGCCCAGCACCACAGGAGGCAGGGCGGTAAAGTAACTATCTCAGTTTTCCACAAACTCCCCCTTCCCTCACAGAGCCTTCTTTAAGACCCTCCACACCCCTCCGAAGTACACTTAGTATACTCTAATTTCACCTCATTTTCCTGGGACAACTGTATTTCAACCTCCTGAGTCCAGCTCCTCAAACCCCAGGGCCTCTGATGCTACCTCAGGTCCACCTGCTGGGAGGGTGGGGAGCACTTGCCCTTGGGGGGCACAAAGGACAGTGGGCCCCAGGAATCAGCATAGCGGGAACTGTGCCTTCAACATCCTGGGAATCACAGAGACGGGCAGCTGGGGAAAGAGCCTGGAGGTGTGTGGAGGACACTAAAGGCCAGCAGGGGAGGGGGCAGCACCAGTGTCCCATGCAGAAAGTTGTGCTGTGGGGTAAACGGCAGCAGGAGTGGGCAAGGAAGCCACTGAGATGGCGCAGACAGAGTGGAGAGGGGCAAGGAGTGGACGAACGTTTGTAGGGTTAGGGTTAGGACTGGGATGCAGACTTGCTGGTGTGACGATATCTTCCCAGCCAGAACAAATGTTTAGTAAAAACTTCCACAGCAATGGGGATGCAGGGAGAGCAGGGAGGGCGGACTACACTGCCCCTCACACTTCTCCACTCTGTGCAGATTTCCAGCCCTAAACAGCACAGGAAAGGTAGGAGAGAGCAGGAGGAATATGGCTGAGCTCTCCTGCTATGGGGCGGGGGGTAAAGAGATCACCCCAGGAAGAAGCCACACAGCTGGTAGGCTCTAAGAAACCAGAATCCTGGGGCCACAAGCTTGGACTGTGGGAGACTTAATATGCACTAAAGCATGGTCTCCCTCACCTTACAGCCTGCCAGGTCTTCAGGTCGCACCCCTGCCCCTGTCAACCCCACCTGCCTCCTGCAGAAGCTTACTGTGCATTGCAGCCTTCCCTGTGACCTGCTCTTCTGTCATTTTTATCCCAAAGTAAAACAGCTAGGAAAAGCCGGGCTCAGTAAGAATTCAGAGAGCATCCTATACACAGCGCATTTGCCAAGCTCCACAGCTGTACACTCTGTGTGGTCTCAACCTGTGTGATCCATCAGTTTGGCCTTTAAACTTCTGGTATCTTTTTCAATGAAATGACAATTGCTGTTTAAAAACACACCTTATAAAGGTGGTGAGAGCTCCCTCCAGTGGTTTTTGTTTTGCTTCCCTGATGAGGAAACAAACAGACCTCTCAGGTACTGGATATAGAGGCCAGTAGGAATATGCGTTGAGATGTGCATTTGTGCGGATGGAGTTCACACGCACAGAAACCACAACTGCCTTAATTTCCAGTGTGGTTGGGAACACAGCAGGCCCAGGGGCCCTGCAGAAGCTAACAGAAATGCAGGAACCCCTGTGACTTCTACACTTGCCAGACTCTGTGGCCCTGAGAACAGCTGTGGCAGAGGTGGTCACACCCCTCCGTGTGGGGATTCCGGGATCAGGGCACCTGGGTCTCCGGTAAGGACGCTCTGGGGTCTCTGCTTGCGATGACCTCACTGCTTACTTTCCGCACTTGTTGAGATCAAGTCTTTCTGTGGCTGTGCTCCGAAGTGAGTGAGAACGCACCTTACCCGTCAGGCGGGCAGCCTTTCCTCACATTCACGTTCAGAAGGTCGGCAGGAAATCTGTCTAATTCCCAGCCTGCAAAACACACAGTAAACGGTGTATTCAAGACACTGACCCAGAAGGGAGCGCACTGCAGTGGGGAAGAGAAAGAGGCCAGGAAGGCTTCCCTGAGGAGGGCACATCTGAGCTGGGTGTGGCACAGTGGGTCAGGCTGACAGAGAAACAGCCTGGCTGTGCCTGCCCAGCCCCCGCTGCCCCTGCAGCTTCTTTCCCCGGGGACCCGTGAGGCCCTGCTCCTTCGGGATCCGCGGGAAGTAGCTCTGGCTGCCTCAGCCCCGGCACCATCGCACCATCTCACCATCGTGGACCTCAGCAGGCCCTCCTTTCCAAGCCACTGAACCCCTCCTGGGCAGGGTGTCACCTGTTTAGTAACCTCCCATGTCGGGGTGAGAAAACCCAGGAAGGTTCGTGGTGTGGGTCTTTAATCCCGGTACGGTGGGAGGCTGATGCAGGAGGACTGCAAGCTCTAGTCGGACCTGGGAAACTAATTTAGCAACGCAGGAACTCCTTGAGACCGTGTCTCAAAGCAAAAGAAGGAGGTGGAGGAGGAGACGAAGAGTTCAGGGACAGCCGAGGCCCACGGGACTCGGTGCTTCAAGGCTCAGCCCCGAGTGGGAAGGTTCTGGCGGGACAGTCCTTAGCTGTGGTCAGGGGCCAGCCGGGGCCCAGGAACAGAAAGCTGCTGCCCTGCCACTTTGTCCAGGAGCCCGTGAAGCGGCCTGGAGGTTGGCGGTGGGGAGGAGTCGCGGGCTCCGGGGACCCTGGCACCCGGTCAGCGCCGCCCCTGCTCCCCGCAGAGAATTACCTGTTCCAGCTGCGGGACGACTGCTACGCGCACAACGGGACGCAGCGTTACGTGCAAAGGTACACCTACAACCAGGAGGAGTTCCTGCGCTTCGACAGCGCGGTGGGCGAGTTCCGCGCGGTGACCGAGCAGGGGCGGTCCTGGGCCGAGAACTTCAACAGCCAGAAGGACTTCATGGAGCGGAAGCGCGCCGAGGTGGACACCGTGTGCAGACACAACAACGAGCTGCTCGAAGGCCTCCCCCTGAAACGCCGAGGTGAGGCCGGGCCGGGACAGCGCAGGATGCGGTCCCGGAGGAGACGCAGCCCGAGTGGGGACCAAGCGGGACCGGGAGCGGGAGCCGGAGCCGAGCGAGTCCCCCCGGGCGGGAAGGAGCGAGGCCGGGTGGGGGGCAGGTCAGGCGCAGGTAGGGCCACCGGAAGGGGTCCCGCAGGCTGACCCGGCTCCGCCGCGAGTCCCCGTCGCTGTGGGAGGTGACAGACCTTAGGAAGCTGCTGGTAACTGGGGAAACGCGTCCTTGTCCACCAGCGGGAAACAGGGTGGGCAGCCGCGGCAGGGCCCTGCTGCTAGTGTACGGGAACATAAATCTACAGAGTATCGTTTTATTTTTTTCCCTCATTTTGAAAACATTTACTGGTACTTCCCCGTGACACATAATGAACGCTTATACTTACTGCATTTTAACCCTTTTTATTTTCCTTCCCTTCCCTCCCCCTCTATCCCTGGGTCCCCTTCCCATCTGCCCCTCACCTATGTTTTTTTAATTTTGCTTTTTAAGTTGTTTATACTTTAGGTTTTTCACAATAGAGAAACCGTGTGATACTTAACCTTCTGGGTCTCATTTGTTTCACTTAGCACAGGCTCAGGGTGCCTCCGTTTTCCCACCAGTGACAAAATTTATTCTTCACGGCCAAGGAGTACTCCGTGGTGTACACATTTTCTCTAAGTGTTCTTTTGTTAATGGACATATAGATCCGTTTCCAAGATCTAGATACTGTGCGTGCTGCCATAGCAATGGGTGCTCGGGTTTCACCATAATACGACATTTTTAATTCATTTGGGAAGATACCCCGAAGGCGTGTGGAGGGGTCAAATGGAATTTCTCCTTTCAGGTTTCTGAGGAAATCTCTATACACATTTACACGTGGCTGTGCCCGTTTATGGTCCCACCAGCAGTGCAGGAGGGTGCCTTTCCCCCACAGCCGCTCCAGCGCCTGTCGCTTTTTGAGTCTCTGGGGCAGCCATGCTTCTTGGAATAAGAGGGAAGGTCAGGGTGGTTTAGATTTGTTTCCCTGCTGAGCATCTTTTCATGTGTACTTGCCGTTCATGCTGCTTCTGAGAAGGCTCACTTCCCATTCCCACTGCGGGGCTTTCATTACTGAGGGTAACTTTTTTTTATTGTTTTATGTAACTGAGTTTTGATCTTCTACTAAGTAACTGGCAAACGTTTTTCCCATTCTATAGGTTGTCTCTTCACTTACGGAGTGTTTCCTTTGCTGTGCTGAAGCTTTTTAAGTTTATACATTATCTTTAGTTGCCATTTGGTGCTGTTTCTTGTGTAACTGCCATTCTGTGTGGAAAGTTGTTACCCATTCTTATGTCTTCAAGAGTTTAACTCATTTTGTCTTCCAGTAGAGCCAGTGTTTCTGTTTTAAAACTAGATCTTTGATCCATTTTCACTGATCATAGTACACGGTGAGAGACATAGATCTGAATTCATTCTTCTGCAGGTGGATGCCCAGTTTTCCCAGCATCCTCTGCTAAAGAGGCCATCTTGGACCCCTTTGTAAAAGATGAGATGGCTGAATGTGCCTGGATTGTTTCTGCATCCTGTGTTCTGTTCCTCTGATCCACATTCTGTTTTGGGTCCAGTATCATCCTATTTATGTGGCTGTGGATCTGCACTATAATTTGAAATCTGGGATCGTGATGCCTCCTACTTTGCTCTTGTTGTCCAGGATTGCTTTGTCTATTCTGGCTCTCACATGATCCCATATAATTTGTAGGAATTTTTTTCTAATTTTGTGAAGAATGCCATTGGTATTTTGATTGAGATTATATTAAATCTAGATGCCATTTTCACAATATTGTTGCTACCTATGCAGGAACAGCAGACACGTTTGCATTTTCTGAGATCTTCTTTCATCTTCTTTTCTGAGTACTATAGCTTTGATTTAGAGATCTTTCACTTTGATTAGGTTAATTTGTGTATATTTAATTTTTGAATGAAATGATTTACCTTATTTCTTAATGGGTTCCTTGTGGATATACAGGAAAGCTATTGATTTTCTGTGTGTTTGTTTTGTGTCCTGCTTTTTGCTGTTTGTTTATTATTTCTAGGAACCTTTTGGTTCAATTTTGTGAGTTGTCCAGGGATCCAGGCATCTGTGAAAGGGAAGGCAGCGCCTCCCAGCACCTTGGGAGAAGAAACATGCATGGGAGACAGTAGGTCCAACAGAGGGACAGTGGACTTTCTCCTGGACAGGACAGCAGACTGGAGGGAGCCAGGCCTGGGCAGGACAAGGTCTTAGGGGAAGCAGAGCCAGGAGAAGACAGTCAAGCACTGAGTTCTAGGAACAGGGACATTTGAGTTCCTCCTACTCTGTGTGTTATTTTTACTTCTTTGTCTCTCCTGATTCTTCTGGCTAAAGTTTCAAGTGCTACAGTGAAAAGAGTGGTGACAGTAGACATCCTTGTCATGATTTTATCTTAGAGGGAAAGCTTTCTCTTTTTCTCTGTTTGATGCTATTGGTAATGGATTTGTCATAAATGGTCTTCATCAGTTTGAGATTAGAGTTCTTCTATACCTATTTTTGTTTTTATCAGGACCAGAAATTGGATATTGTCAAAGGCTTTTTTGGCACCTATTTATATGAACATTTGGCTTTTATCCTTGCTTCTGTTCAGGTGACTTACTGATTTATTTTTTGATTTACATATGTTTAATTAATCTTGCATTCAAGAGGGGACGCCAATTGATGATTTGTGATTTTAACTATTTCTTGTGCTGTTTGCAAGTATCTGATAAGGCTGTTTGCAGCTATGTTCATTGAGGATGTTGGACTGGAATTTTCTGTTTTTGTGAAGTCCACATCCAGTTCTGCTATCAGGGTAATGCTAGCTCCAGGGATGAGTTAACAGTGGTCCTGCCGTTTCGCTTTTGGCAAAGAGTCTGCAGCTTGTTGGCTTTGGTCTTTCTGAGAGTCTGGCAGATGTAGCCATTGAATCCACTGACCCCTGCGCTTCCAAATGATGGCAGAGTTTTTAATACTGTCTCTATTTCATTGCCTGCTATTGGTCCATTCAGACTTTTGTAATCTCCTTGGATCAATTACCAAATTTACATGTGTCTAGGAATTTCTCCATTTTTCTAAGTTCTTTAAATCATGAGAATATAAATTTTTTCAGGTAGATTCTTATTATAAGTTTCCCACAGGATTGGTCATAATTTCATTTCTTTGATTTCAAATTGATTTGGTATGGTTTTCTTCCCCCTACCCCCATTTTCATAGTAACTTTGGCCAGGAATTTATCAGTCTGTGTTGTAATTAGCTCTTTCATGTTTCTCATTTAACCAGGTAAGCATTACAAGAAGCTGAGTTATTGTAAAACAGGAAATGACAAAGTCAGATTGTATTTTCAGAGTGTTAAATGGATTAGAAAGAGGAGGGACTGGTATCAGAAGTAGATAAGAAAACATTATTACCATCTAAGGAACAGCAGTCCGGGCATGAACTGAGGAGGAAGAATGAAAGCTGCAGGATTTCTAATGTAGATGTGTAGCAAAGTTTTAGAATAACTGAGCAGATGTTTCATGGACATTAAACAAGGCAGTCTTAGAACCAGAGAAATCTTTTTCCCTGGTGAAACTTGGCTTTTGTTTTTATTTTTTTTAATTTTTAACTTTTAGTTTATGGAATAAAGGTAAAACAAAATTTCATAACAAAATAATGGGAGAATAAGAATAGTTAATACATTACATGTTATTATCTTTAGAGTACTTGCTGAGGGTACAAGATGTGGGTGTAAAAACTCTCCTATCTGCATTACCGTAAACCTTCCTTTTTCATGAACTGAGAGATACTGATAATAAAATTGACCTGCATGTTTTCCCCTTTTCCCGACTGTCTTCCCCTTTCACCCATCCTGGTTCCTTTTTCCTTTTGAGCCTTTCCTCCCCATTTCTGAATACCTGTTGTACCTTTTAGACTTTATTTACTCTTTCAGTTTCTCATACCAGGGAGACAGTAGGAAATGTGTTTTAAGGAGTATGACAGCTGACACCACTGAATATGTAGACTTAATTCCAGCACCACCTAGAGGTCAGATGTATACTGCAGGCAAATTTCTTAATGGAATGTTCTGGGCTTCAAAACAGACAAGCCAGTATAGCTTCTGATTTGCATGAGGCCAAGGAGTCTAAAAGAAAAAAAAAATTTAACTTCATTTACAAATTATGATTCAGGCCGGAGTTGAACTGGCAGATGAACTGAGTTTACAAAACTCAGTAAAAGTGCAGCTAAATGTAAGTCGCCTGGAGTAGAAGAAGGCTGGCAGTGTGGACAGCTCTGGGCTAAAGGAAACAGTAGTTCCCAGTACAGTTCAGAAACATCCTTTTACCTGACCCTCTCCCACTTGGGGGTATTTGTGTTCCCTGGGAAACAGAAATTTGAAAAGAACTGAGATAGTAAGCACTAGAAGCTCTGAAGGGGAAAAAATTTTACCGAATATGCTTTCTCTTGAGGCAACTGGATCTTTTCTGATCTCGCGAGGGATTGAAATTCTTGGCGGTAGAGGCCCAGAAGTACTCGCTATCTGTAGGGTTCCTAAGTCACAAACAACAGAGAAACTGACATGTGAGCATCAGGCAAGAGTGACCTGGAACAAAGAAGCTGAGGAGAGCACAGAACATCAAACAGAGCTGGAGAGGTGTAGACAATGCCTGCACATGAGTTTTCTCAAAGAACCAATGAAGATGCTGCAGAGGAAAATTTGCAATAGATTGGAATTCTAAAAAATCAAACAGATGGGATTTGGAATATTAGGTTTCAGTGTGCACCAATGCCCTGAAAGTAAAACCTTTCCCAAATAAGTTTTGGTCTCTTCTAAAATCATGCTAGAACTTGTTTCTGGGGAATTCTTCTTTTCTGGGAAACACAGTATTACTGTAACTGTGAAGATCACAGGTTTCAGGGTCCATAAAATATATAGGCTACCCTAAAAGTAAACCATTGTCACAATTGTGTCTAGTAATTTTAATGTTTCTGATATAAAGTGATAGACATTTTATGTATCTTAATTTACTACATTAAAAATAGGCAATTTCACATCCCTTTCCTAAGACTATAGCACTGAAAAAATAGGTAGTTTGACAACTAGAGAAATGTTCTTTTTCAGAAGGCTATTACTGGTGGTCAATGGCTTAGACTTGTAACTTCTGCTAAATACATACCAAAGCACTGCTTTTCTTTGGAGAAAGTACTGATGTTGTCTTGCTCCAAATACTCTCAGCTTATTATGTAATTAATGATCATGCATATTCCATTGGAGGGTCTATCTCCATCACTGTACAGTCAGTACAGCATTTACAATCAGTATCTGTCTACATGATGCAGGCATTTGTACCTTTAATATCTAGAAGTCACTTCTTTAGTGAAAATATTTAAGAAACAATAATCTCTGACATCATTCCTTTCCCCCTCCAATTCTAGTCCAGCCTACAGTACATGTGTCCCCTGCCAAGAAGCCCACCCTGCAGCACCACAACCAGCTCATCTGCCACGTGACAGATTTCTACCCAGGCAACATTCGCGTCCGATGGTTCCTGAATGGACAGGAGGAAACAGCTGGATCGAGTCCACCAACCTGATCCATAATGGGGACTGGACTTACCAGATCCTAGTGATGCTGGAAGTGACCCCCCAGCAGGGAGACGTCTACACTTGCCACGTGGAGCACCCCAGCCTGGACAGCCCTGTCACTGTGGAGTGGAGTGAGTTTCCCGCCTTCAGGGACCTTCCAGAGCCCACAGTCTGAAAGGCAGGGAACACACCAGCACCCAGGTCCACTGTTCTTGTCTTAACATTGAGGTCATGGGTACACACTGTGTTTTCTGAGTGTAATTCTGAGCTTCAGGAAACAGAGGCTCCCCTGCCCCTGCAGAGTTTCAGTGATGAGAAACTCTGCGGACTCTCCTGAACTGGCCTCCCACATAGGAGCTGCTCTCTGCTGTCAGCTTTCACACTGTTCGGCCTGTACTGAGAGGCAGCTGGCAGGGTCTCCATTTGTCCTGTGGTTGGAGTCACCAGCCCAAGTCTGGAACCGGGCCTTAGCGGGTCCCCTGGCCACTGCCTCAGGCTGATGTTCCACACCCGCTCCAGGGTCTCAGACAGGATGGAGACAGGGATGTCCCGGTGGAGGTGACAGTAACCCTGGATTTTGTTTTCCTCAGCGGCTCAGTCTGATTCTGCCCAGAACAAGAAGCTGACTGGAATCGGGGGCTTCGTGTTGGGGTTCATCTTCCTCACAGTCGGCATCGTCATGCACGTGAGGAGCATGAAAGGTAGGAAAAGCTGCCCAGGGCTGAGGTCGCCTCTACCCCGACTTTCCATTCACTGTGATAAGGGATGAGACAGAAGAGTGATGCCACACAGTTCTAGAAGCCCCTGTAATCAAACTGTCAGAGCCAAGATGAGGGAGAGAGGAATCCCTGGGCTGGGCCTAAACCACCAGGTGCACGAGGTTTCCAGGGACTCGGACTCAGGGCGGGCAGTGGAAGGTGGGAGGGGAAGGCTTCCCTCGGCATCTGAGGAGGACTTGATGGCTAATGCACTGTTGTCGTTTCCTTTCAGGGCAGCGAGGACCTCGATGAGCAGGTAATGTTCCTACTTGCTTCTCCCAAGGGGAGGGTTGCGGAGGAGTGTGAGTGCTTTCTTCTCACTGAAATGCTGGCTTACAGGGAGCAGGTCCTCGGGCCCAGACTAACGCTTCAGTCTCAGCCCTTGGATGAATGTGAGGAAAGAACATTTTCTCACTGAGCAAGAAAGCTGAAATCAGCAGTATTTTAATCAGGCTATTTTATAAAACCAACATGTTTCATCCTCATCCTCACACTTAGGGGCCAGGGTCAGTAACATCAAATAACTTTGTCTTTATCTCTACAGGGTCCCTATCTGACAGCAAAAATTAGATGAGCCTTGGAACAAGGATTTTCTATTTCTTTAGTCCTAGAAAAGACTGAAGGTTGGTTCTGCACTAGACCCCACCTGCCCAAGAGGATGTGGCTGCCACGTAATTGCTCTGAAACCAGTTTCTGTAGTTTTGCTCTTTGATTCAATGTACTTCTCTCGACAACCAAGTTCTCTTTTCCTCTGCATTATAAATAAAATCAGATGTCCTTATTTTCTTTTAAACATATACACTGTATTATCTCCACCACTGTTTTTTATTTAAAGAGAAAAAAGGGTAGAAATAATACAGAATACAGAAAAATAAACAGTACGATATCCCTAGCTGATAAGTTACATGTTGTCATCTTAGAAATAGTTGTTCAAGTTACAAAATTAAGGCTTACAAAGTGACATTCAAATAATGAAACTGCAAACAGTTCTGCTCAATGATCCAACAAAAACTTAGTAAAATGGTTATCAGTCCTACACACTTGTTTTTTTGTCTTAAAGAGGGTAAGATTAAACATGAAAAAACAGAACAAAACAGTTCATAAGGAAATAATTTTTAAAAACACAGATTTCAAAGCAAGTCCACTGGAGATCTTCACTGTCTATCGTATTGTCTCTAGTTTTCTTCCAAATAGTTGTCCCCATCTTCACACACATTGAATATATACTGAACATTATAAAACTAATCAAACCATTACAAGATGATGAAAGCTTTTTAGGTCTTCAAGACCTGATTTTGGGAAAGTCAATAATGACTACCATAATGTCTCTCATTCTCTTTGTAGTAGCCATCTTTATCTTTATATATGCTGAAATTGAACATGAGACTAGACTAATATTACTCTGAACAGTGAATAATAGTATTGATAGGTTTTATATCATAATGCTACAGAATTAGCATTGGGTTTCTTAATGTCTCTTCTTCACCAGAGTATCTGTTCATTACATTGTGTATTATATAATCTGTTCCCATAAATAGTTTAGAAATTCTTCCCTTGTGTGAATCTCTACATGTATATCTATCCTTTCTGTATTATAGGGAAAAACAGATCAAAACAAGACAACAAAATAAATTCCAAAAATCATGAAAAAGACATATAAAACCACAATATTAGGTGATCTACAGTAGTTACTATGCTTTCTCTTGTTATTTTTAATAGAATTGTCCACATCATTAGGCATTATATAGTTAAGCATAGCCTTACATAGATATTTTGATTAAAACACAACTTTGAAGACATTGTAGGATTTGAAAGCAGTTTTAATAATCAAAACCGGAATGGATATCTTTTACATCTTGTCATCTTCAGAATAGTTGTCTGTACTCTTAGACTTGATTCTACCAAGCATACCAAATTCAAATAAAATCAGTCAAGGCAAAATATCAGTCTAACAAACCAGCTTCAAATAAGATCAAGCATAGTAAGACAATGTAAGTAATACAGGGTTTCAGTTTAAGTAAATAGGAAACTAAGGACAGTTACTGTGGTATAACCTGCTAATTTTGGGTTAGCTGTCTGTGCCCTCAGGTCTAATATGAGTAGATAGACCAAAACAAAATATAATCAAACTAAATGGAGCAATAAGGCTACTGTGGCTTTTAAATCCTGATACACTTTTAACAGTGTCCTCTGCCTTCCTTTTTTAGGCAATTCCTCACCTTTCCCATTCTCAGTATGCTTTGTATGTTTTGGGTCCCACTAGCTCCTTAAGTTTTTAGACTAGGGGATCAACCTGTTATTTATCTCAGTGTTGCTGAACCTTTTTACCCCTGACCTTAATCTTGAGCTGTACTCCTCTACTTATTAAAGCCACAAGGTTTTCATTCCTGCCAGCTGTGTACTTCTACACTGCACAAAAGTCTCATAATTTACCAATTTATCTGTGGCTGCTGGACAAGTTGTCCCTATTTTTCTCCGGTTTCCTGTCACATATAGCATTGTTTTCTCATCTTTGACTCTCAGTTTATTAACCCTCTTTCAGGTTGAGTATATTTCCTATTCAGAGCATCAAGATGGATCCTGCCTCCGAATCTACTCTGTTGTGTTTCTTTTTTGTTAGTGTATCAAGGCTGTCTATATTAAAGATTATAGCTTACTGTCTCTGCCTCATCTGTGCAATTCTATTCTTCTGCTATTATTTGTCCACTTTATTCCTTCATTCCACTGTCTGCCCTGTTCATTGAGGCCTCTCTGCCACTATTGCTGGAATCCTGGTATTTTTTTCCTCTCTCCCTCTCTGGAATGTCCTTCAGTTTTTTTTGTAGGGTTGGGTTGGTGGCCAAGGACTCCCACAGTTCCTTTTTGTCTTGGAAATATCTTGTTTCTCCATTAATTTTGAGAGAGTGTTTCTGGGTACATCAGTCTTTGTTGGAGGTTATTTTCTTTTAGGGCTTAGACTATTTCCCCCAGGCTCTTCTCGATTTGAGAGTTTATGTTGGTAAGTCTGTCATTACTTTGATAATTTTTCCATTGTAGGTAATGCTTCTTTTCTCTGGCTGCTTTTAATAGTCTGTTCTTGTGGTGGATTTCTGGTATCTTGATTATTATATGTCTGGGTGTAGATCTGCTTTGGTTGTAGGTGGCTGGAGTTCTGTATGCTTCATTTATCTGGATATCATTTCCTTTTCCTATGGTTGGGAAGTTTCCCTCAATTATATCTGTGAATAGCTTTGTAGTTCATTTGTGGTAACTTCTGCTTCTTCACTCACATTTTTTATTCTTAAGTTATAAATCCTCTTGTCATCTTCTAGCCTTTGGATTGTTTCATCCTGGTTCCTTGTTATTTTTAAGAGATCTTTTCTTTCACGATCACACACCATAAATCTCTCTTCAAGTTTCAAGGCATTTCTGTCAAGGCATTTTGCCAGCTTTCAATGGAGTTTTTAGTTTCCTGGTAATCTCTTTGGATCTGTTTCATGTATTCTAGGTTTAGTTTATGTTCTTCTTGAAAGGTTTCTGTTCCTTTTCTGAGTTCCTCCACTCTTCCATCTGTGTTCTTTTGGGTGGGGTTTATCATTTCTTTAACTAATCTTTTTTTTTTATCAGTACTGGAAATCAAACTCACGACTGCCTGCTTATAAGGCAGATTCTTATGTCACTGAGCTAAATCCCCAGCCCCTAATTAATCTTTTTATATCTTGCCTCACTTGGATCAGAAGTGCAGTTTTAAATTCATCTGTGAGGTTATGAAGGTATTTCTTTATGTCCAATGATGCTGTGTCTAATATTGCATGATTACTGCACTGGTTCTCTTCTGTATTTACCTCTCCTGGGCTTATTTTCCCAGGGTCAGTGGCTGGAGGTTTTTATTTCTATCTCTTTTCATGTTAGTGGTTTCTTCCAGACAGGTGTGTCCTGGGGAGGGGGTCTCTGGCCCTCTTCGTGTTGCTTAGAGTCTTTCTGAAGCATGCTGACTGGGATTTTGCTGCCCTCCCCAATTTGCTGTTATCTGAGGTACATTCAAGGATACAGGCATAGTGCAGCCTAGCCTCGAGCCTCTGAGCCAGTTGACCCATAGTTTCCTTCAGGGACTTATGTTGTACCTTGTGGACATCACAGAGTCATGACAATTTTGTCCCTGTCTCCTGGGCCCCAACCAGAGGCATAGCTCAGCCCCAGCAGAGCCCACCAGTCCTCTCTGCACCAGGAGTGACCAACTGATGCCGCCATGGTGCCGGGCTCTGCCCAACTCCAAGATGTCCTCCAGTCAGTGACAGTAGGCATGGGACACAATCCCCAGGACTCACTGCAAATCAATGCAGTTCTCCATTTTGGCTCCACTCCATGCTGCACCACATCCTCCCACTAAGGGCTCGGGACCCAACAATTCCAATTATCAGTGGCTGTGGCTTCATCTCGACCTTGAATCGCCTGACTCCACGGCACTCCCAGCACAGTGCAGATGGGTCTCAGTGAGCATGTAGGACTCCAGCCCTCCACTTGTGTTTTCCCTTCCTCTGCAGAGGTAGCTTTTAGCTTGATGTGGTTTTTCCACATCTAGATCAGCATCCCGCCTCTTCAGAAAGCTGTGCGGTGCCCAGCTGTGGCACCCAGATGCATGGAGCTCTCTGCAGCCTCCTCTGGCATAGACAGTCAGCTCTGGCTGCTACTCATTGAGAGCCAATAAGCTCTCCACCTTGGCTCCACTCCAAACTGTGCTGTGTCCTCCCACAGCAGAAGTGACCCTTTTCAGGGCAAATGCCTCCATTCCTGATCAGCATCTTTCCCATTAAATGTGCCAGTAAAAATATTGCTGCCTTGTTCTGTGTCATTATTTCAGATATCGTGAGGTGATAAGGACACTGTAAAGTGTATTTTTCATTTTCTCTTTGTTCTTGCTTTATTCAGACCAAAAAACATGAGAAATCTTGAATCCATAGACACAGAGCACATAAATTACATCCTCAGAGCCATCAAGCACTGAAAATTGGAAAAGATATCTTACCAGCCTTTCTCAACCCTCCTCACCCACGGTATCTCATGTTATGGGCTGGTCAGTAACCAAAGAGGAGAGAACCTTCTCTGGACCGTGCCTTTAAAAGTTCAGGAACTAAAGTTTCTATTCCCCAGATCCAGGGATATATGCGTCTGGAAAGCTGGGAGTGTAGGAGATAAGGAAAGGCCCCAAATTATAGAAAAGGCATCAAATGTGACCAGTTGGAATCACTAAAGGTGGAAAGTTCAATGAATGCATAAGAAATACAAAATAACATACACATTTATCAGTGCTACCATTTAACAGGAACTATTTGAGTTGTAAGTAACAGAAGTGTTTGATCTAGAAAAGTTTTTAGAATACCTGTTGGCCCATGGGCTCAGGGATGCTGGTGACTCATGTTCAATTTCCTGAACCAGGTACAAGTTACATGGAGTTTACCTTTGATCTCCCTGGCTGTGTATTCTATTGCACATTACATTGTTTCATGTATTTCTTGCAAAAATCCTCTAATTCATAATAAAACTCATGGAAAAGATAAATAAGGAGGATAATGGTTACTAGAAGGTAAAAGAAAAAGCCAATTAATAAAGAACCACTACATTTAATAATATTTAGAATACAGAGAAGGGAGGGTGCTGGGGATTTAGCTGAGTGGCATAAGCATCTATCTAGCAAGTGCAGGGTCATGAGTTTGATCCCCAGTACCAAAAAAAAGGATGATGCAATTTTCACTTTTGTCACTATAAGTAGTGTCCAGTGCTAAAGTTGAGCATCACTTTGGATGAGCTGTGGTAAGAT